TTTATTTAAATTTTTTTTATTATTTTATTAAATTTTTTTTTTTTTATATTTTTAATTTATAATTATATTTTATTAATAAAATATTTATTTTTATAATTATTTAATATTTAAATTTAAAATATATTACTTATAAATAAAAATATTTTTAATTTCAAATAATTTTTTTTTTTATTATATTCATTTTTATTCATTATTTATTTTATTTTATATTCTTTTTATATATATATTTTTTTTTTATTTTAAATTTTTTATTTATTTTAAATTCTTTTGATTTTTTATTTTTATTATTATGTTTTTAAAGTATTTTCATTTTTATATTATTATTTTTTTAAATTAATTAAGTATAAAATATTTTTAATTTTATTATTTCAATAAAGGGTTTTTTTAAAAAGATATAATATAATTATAAAAATAATTCATTATAATGAATTCAGGTAATATAATTTTATCTAAATATTAATTTTAATATTTAATACATATAGATAAAAATAATTATATTTTAAATTTAAGTTTAAGTCTTTCTATTGGAGTTCTTGCAACTTTATTTTTAAATTAAATCTAACTTAGAAAATTTCGATAAGAAATTAAGGAAAGTAAAAAATAGCTTTTAAAATAGTAAAAATATGAATAACCAGAAAACAAATAATCTAATGAAGAATAAGAAGAAATATTATAACAAAAAATTTAAGAACTTATTAAATTAAACAAAAGTACATATAAAGGTAAAAAAAATGGTAATAAACTTTTAATAAATAAAAATGAAAATAAAAGATTTTAATAGAATTAAAATTTCTCTAAACTAATTAGAAAACAATAAATTAATTGAAGAAATAAGATTTCTTGATAGTGCAATTTGTGAAATAGAAAAAGTTCCTAATTTAATTTTAGATTTAGTAAAAATAAAAATAAAAAATTTATTATATAAAATATATTTATTAAGAATTTGAATACTTTTAAAGATATATTAACTCCTCTTATTTAAAATACTCATATTGAAACTTTTATTAATACAAATTCTTTTATTTTATGTAAATAATAAATTAAAAAATTTATATTAACAAATAAAATAAGAAAATTCTGATTATGGACCAAGTTAATTAATATAAAATTCAAAAAAATGGTTAAGAGCAGGTCCTCGTTTACACAATTATTTCGATCCATAATAAGTTAGAGCCTTAATAGTAACATAAGATGGTTTATGTCCTGGTTTAAATGTAGTTATAAGAGAAATAGTTTAGCATTTAGATTATAATTATAAAGTTAATTAAATATATGGAGCTAAATATGGATTTAAAGGCATTTATAAGGAAGAATATAAAATATCACCTGAAGTAGTTAAT